CCGCGGGCACCGAGCGTTCCGGCACCGCTGAGGGGTCGGGAGGAGTCGGGTCTGGCTCAGGAAGCGCTGCAGAACCTCACGGGCTCTGTGTGGTGTTTGCACCGAAATCAGCGGCGATATTTCTGAGTTACAAACACCTCGCCGATTGTTTTTTCCCATCCATGCCCCTTTCCGCAGCTGCATGGCCGTGTAAGGACCGCGCTGTGCTGTTCTGTTCTGTGGGATCCATGGGTGACAGCGCTCCCGCAGCGCAGTTCCAGCTCGCTAATATTTTTTTTTATCGAGAGCAGACTTCTAATGAGGTTATGAAACGAGCCTGTGTCACAGCTAAGTCCCACCCATTTGCTGCGCTGCCGAGATAGGCCACCCATGATTCCATCCTGGGGATTCGGGGGGACTGATGCCGCCCCATCCCCTGCTCAGTGACACTCCCAGCCCCTGCCATCGCTGTCAGCTCAGCAGCTGATAACCTCCAGGTTTTGCAGGCTTCTGACCGCTAGAAAAAGAAGAAAGCCATGGGTTTTGTCTTCTTTTCTTTATCTCACAAAGCTCTGCCCGAGGGATGTGTGTGTCTGTGATAATTTCCTTCCAATTCTGGCATTTTCAGCCCTACCCAGAGGAGACAGTGAGTGAGTACCCAGAAAACATTTCTGCTAAAGCTAAACAGGCTTCAGTAAAACAGAGGAAAATAGGGCACCTGTCAGTTAGTTTCCTTCTGGTGAAAATATATTATACTTCTGAAATTATTTGAGATACATCTCCAAGAACTTGCAAACAATGCAAACTTGAGTCTGTAAAACCCATCAGCCTTGTAAAGAGGAATGGTCATGCTTTGGTGTTGTGCTTCTTTAAGGCAGCAGGAATTTATTCTTAGCATTACCAGACTGCCAAGATGATATTTCTTAATGCCTCTTTTTGCTCTCCATCCATGAAATGATCATAAGGTTTCTCTTCAGCATTAGAACACAGGCTGAATTCACCAGGGTGTACAACATGCTGAAATAAGCCCTATGTAAGAACTGGTTAATTAATGATTTCAAGGGTTTTCTTAGTGAAAGTATGCAAACTTTCACAAGAAAGTGAAGAATATTTTAGTTTCTCTACAGGCAGTCTGCTGTGGCCCAAGTATTGTGTGTTTATTTATTTATGATGCTTTCAGTTAACCAGCTGCTGTTTTCATCCACTGTGAGATTCCTGTTTGACTCCTTTTTTTGTTGTTTTATTAATCGGTCAGAAATGTAGCTCAAGTTTTAAGCCTTCTGAATTAATGTTACATAATAACAGTGGAAAAAGTGATCTGTGAAAAAAGTAAGCAAAATATTACACACAGAAATGGCAGAACTGGTGGACCCCAGTCTAAGTCAGCTGATCTCAGTTTTATTTTTGGTGAGTGTGTTTCTTACAGTGAGGGTTCAGATTCTGAATCACATCTGAATACATCAATAATAGGAGATTTCACAGCTTGCACGTGGTCTGTGGAGCCCCAGATTTAAAGAAAACAATCAGTCAGGCCCTGAGACCACGGTTTTACCTGGAATGTTTTGCATTCAGCTCCTCTCCAGCCAGTCTGGATGTGTTGGGAATCCTTGGGAGGCCCAAGGCTGAGTGAGCAGCCCCTGCTTGCAGGGTGGCCCAGGAGAAGGGAGGAGCCTGGTTGTGGAATATTTGCACTTTCTGGGGTGGTTTGGCTGAAACAAATGTCTCTCCAATTCTATTTCTTCACACAATAAAGTCAAATGTTCTTTAAATAAAGAGAGTGATGTTTATTTCTCTCTGTTTTCAGGGTGATGTCTTACCTGGGACTGAGATATGGAAAACAGTGATGTGGTGAATCCTGTACAGGAACCCCCTTTGTGCTCTGCAGACTGTGATGGCAGAAACCCCCACAGCTCTGTCTGCAACTTGAATTCCAACAGGTAATGTGCTGAGGGAATCACTAACAAATACTTTCATTATTTTGGTTCTGCTTAGTTAGCATCCCTTCACAGTATTATTGGTGTTAAAGTGAAATTTGTATTTCAGCATAGTGAGAGTCCTAAATTGAGTGTATAATTCTGGCAGTCTGGCATATGTAGGGTATTGTTTGGGCCCCTGTGTTGCACACCTGACACAATAAATAATTGAGCTGTTTTCTTTGTGTTTCTCTAGAGGTCCTTCATCCAATCCCAGTGGAGTTTCTGGTTACTCAGGGAATGCCAGGTCCTCATTAAAGCCTGGTTCTGTTGAGCTGCTTGCCTCCTTTATGCAAGATATCCAGAACATTGGACATGCTAACTCAGAAATTGTGAGGAACTGTGAGGTATTTGATATTCAATTTTATTTTTTAAAAGTGGTATTAATGTATTTGCTTTGCATTTTGGAAGACAAATCTGTGATGCAATTCTGGGTTTATCCTTAATGATGAGAGAGATCCTTTACAGTAAATGAACTAATCACCTGGCTGGATTTTACTGCAATTTTATCTTGGTGTTTTATCATTTAATAATATTATATTAATAATATATATTGTAATATAATATGGATCTGAACATTTTTTCCCAAAGTTACAATAAAGGTAGCAAGTTTTTGAACTGAAAAATTTAAACCATTAAAATGATATCACATCCAACTGGTCTGAAATTATCCTAGAATTTAAAAGGGCTTTGTTCTAAGAGGGGTTCTGTTTTGCTTGACTTATTTATATAATCCATTTGTAAAAATGTGTAGGTGATTAATTTGTTTCCAGATTTAAACCAATGCAAAAATAATGATGTGGTTTCAATGAACTAATTCTCCCAAACACTTTTTGAACGTTTTTTGTGCTTTTGTATTTTAAATTTTATCAGTGTATTTGGTTATCATAAGGAGCCTCAATTCACCATGGGCTTGTTCTTGCAGATTTTTGAGCTCCCTGGCTGGGATCCATCCAAGTGTGTGTTGACAGATGCTTAATTTGGGTTCTCTTTAACACCTCCAGGAACAGAATATTGATGTGTGTGTCCCGTGCCCTGTGCTTCAAGCACCAGCTCCATAAACATTGACATGAAAGAGTTGTTAAACATCAGATTTTGCCATGTTTCAGGAATGCTGTGTATTTGATTTTTTAAAAAAATTATCTCTTAGTTTCCATGACATAATTATGCATCCTGGCCTTTAGCTGGATTGCTGGGGGGGAGGAGTTTCTTACTGAAGGGTGTTTAATTCTCAATTTTAGAATTGCCTGTAATTAAAGGAACTGGATTGAACCTTTCCAGGATCTGGCTGTTCTTTGCTGGCAGCTGTTCCTGCTTTTGGCTCCCAGTGATTGGCATGGTGGGGGCTGAGTGTGCTGGGGGTGGCACCCACAGTGCTGCTCCTCAGCTTGGATTGTGCCAACAGCCAGGGACAGGATTGCAAAGCTCTTTGCAGCCAGAGAAAAGGTAAGAGGTGCAGTATTTCTGTGCTTTAATTGTTGCACTTTGTGATTTAACAGACAAGGTGGATACAGCTTCTGAGACTGGTAGAAAAACAATGCCAGGAACAAATAAATGCCCAGCAAGAGCAGTTCCACCATCAAATCCAAGTAAGTAATGACTGTTCATGGAGCTTGATAAAGCTGAATGATATTTTTCTCCCTCCAAAACAATGCAGAGAGGCAGTTAATGGAAGTGGATGCTGTTTAAAGGGAGCATATTTGAGACAGCCTTGGTTAATTAACAAAGCAACTCTTAGGAACCATTTCAGGAGGGATTTGTGGATTATTTATTTTCAATTATTTTGTTTTCACAAACATTTGGTTCAGAATGCTCACCTGATAATGGTATTTTGTAGGTACAAGGTTTTTATGAACTGTTAGACTGTATAATTTCTGATTTTGAGACAATATAGCTTTATTTTCATTTAAAAAATATACAGCTTATCATCCCCTCATCCAGAGAGTATATAGCCCAGGAAAAGCATCACTGTAATAGCTGAACACCTATCTCACCTTCACTTGAACAGTTTCCTTTCTAAGAATGAAAAACAACCCCTGTGAAGGTTCATGTTTTTGCTGAGCCCTGTTTATCCATTAGAACAGAAGCAATGTATATGTATATATAACAGACAATGAAACTATAATTATATAATGCTTAATATCTTCATCATTTTGGTTGCTGTTTTTCCCTTCCCTTTCCTGATGCCCTCCACACTAGTAGTAATCAGCAGTTCCTGAACTGAATTACCAAGAGGTACAGTCCTTTTATCCTGTTTCTCCTGCCTCACCTCCCCCCTCCCTCCCATCTCGTTATTTCCCTGTTTCCTTACCCTTGTTTTTCCTTCCTCTGACTGTAGTGGTTTGATTCACTTGTTGCTGATCATGGTCTTTACTAATCCATTGTGTTGGCTTTGCTGGTTTTTGTCTTTTTTTAATAGGAAAGGCTACCTCTGGAAGAGCTGAGGGTCAGCAGGGCTTTCTCACTGCATGGGGTGCCACACCAAACACAAAATCAGCAGCTAGAACTGAGCTCTTTTATGCATTAAATAAAATAGATGGGGCTGTTCCAAACTTACCCTGGTGTGCCAGTGACACTGAAACACAGGCAACTCAGCACATTCTAGTGAGAGTAATAAAAAGGCACAACAACAACAATAATAATAATAACAATAACAATAATAATCATCATCTGCTTTTTGTGGTAGAAAGGCAAGGTGCTGGATCAGCACTGACATGACTCTGAGATAAGGTTTGCTCCATGCTGGGTTTCAAGACCAACTACATAAAAATCTCCATCCTTGTGAGAACAGGGATAAAAAACTTTTGAGTTCCTTTTGGAATCAGTGGGGGCAGCCCTTGGCTTATGTGATTGATACAAAAAAACCATAACTGTGCCAGGGACAAGCTGGATCATCCCAAGATCAGACTTTATCAAAGAGATTATAAAACCAGAATTACAATCCCAAAACTGTAGAAAGCACATCTTATTTTTCCCTTTTTTTTTTCATCTCTTGCAGTTATTTTTGAGTGTGCAAAAAGAGGTAAAAAAGCAATTTAATTGGAATAGGAGCCTTTCAGTTTTCCTGTGCAGGGTATTAATGACAAAGATTAAATGTCAGCAGTGAATCTGATCTTCTCTCCCCCCACTCCAGTTCTGTTCTTTCCCTTCTTTTTTCCCTTCCCTACCTTCCTGACAGCTGGATTATAGAATTAAAATACAAATAATTGCTGCAGTCATGATTGAAATCATTAGCAGAACACAAAACTCTGTAGTGGAAGGAAACTTCATCCCAAGGTTTTTTTTGTTTATTATTTTTGGCAGGGAAAGGCTGAACTGAAATTCAGTGGTTTGTTCTGTTGCAAGTTAATAAAAAATCTGAGGCTTGATCCTGACTAGCATTACATGTAGGTTCCTCTGAAATTAAGTATTCTTTTTTATTTCTTACTTTGAGAGAACAAATCATTTTTGTTCAATTTGTTCTCTGCAGTTGCTGTTCACATGTGAGTAATGTACTGTAGTTCTGTGAAAAAACACGAGTTCCATGTTCTTAAAGTGATTGCAAGTTTTTTCCTTCATCCTTTCCTGAGGGAATTAGTTTGAAATATATTCTTGAAAACAATTCTGTGCTCTGTCCTGTCATGTGCAAGAGCTGTGTGCTCCTGCAGTTCAGTAATCTCAGTTGAACTCTGCAGAAGTGCTGGCCACAGGCACAAATGTGAAATCTCCTCACAGCCCTTGGCAAAAGCATTAATTATTTCTCAGAGCTGTTTCAGTATTTCCAGAGCACAGCTGTAAAACTTAGAACTTCAAAAATTACTGACCTAATATACTGAAATCATTCTTGTGGACTAAAGAGAAAGTGACCTGTTCAATGTAGTGATGCAGTTTTGGGTTTGCTCCACTCCATCAGCCACCAAAACAATCAAAAGGCAGAACTTTGTACCGTTTGAACCCAACAGCATAATATCCAAATTGGGAGTTTTAAAGTTGAGTTTTATGCAATAATCTTGCAGAGGTACATTATTCCTATTCTCATGATAGAATAATGGTTAATTCTTCCATCAAAGCATCCTTGCAGTCTTTAAAAATGTGTATCCAAGTGAAAAAGTGTTTCAGACATAAATTTAGCCCAACACCTGGATAGTTTGTATTTCTTTAGCAGGTTGGTAGGTAACTGTAGTTCTGGGTAATTAGTGATACATTCATGCATGTTTTTTACATGAATAAATGACTACTGAGACTCGTGATCCACTGCATGGAATTCAGGATTGTTCCCATGGACATTTTACTGTTCTTTTTACTGTTTTATTTATATTTACTGTTATGCACAGTATGTATTTATCTACTTTATGCATGAGATGTCTGCACATGAAAACTTGGAGTTATATGGAATAAATACTCTAAATCTCCTGCTAATAACACAAATGGAAGATGCATCTAAACAGGGGTGTGACTTGAGGCAGGATCTGATGGGAATTGTCCCCTTTCCCCCCCGTGCAGCTGATTCAGGATGAGATAAAGCAGCTGGTGAGGTTGCAGAGCAGCAGCTGGG